CAGAGCTCAGAAGCCCAAAGTGGCTACTTTTGCTGTCCACAGCTGTCTCCTGGACTCAAGGGGCCAGAAACAGAGCAGCCGCCGCATGTGAGGGTCACATACACACAGCTTGAGTTTGGCATGCTTAGGATCGCCTTGAACCTGGAGGAAGCGCCTGGGGCAGAGGGCACAGTGTTGACACAAACTGCTATAGGGTATGAGGAGGCAGTTAGCTCAGCGTACAGCCTAACAGCTGAACTGTCTGGAGAGGTAGTGAGCTCCCCATTGCTACTGTCTGACCATCCTCCAGGGATGCTTGAGGCAGGGGCTGGGGGTGGGGTGGACATGCTGGCACTGGAGAGAAGCTGGCCTTGATAACATCAGACTCTCCCTCGCCTGAAGACTGCAGATTCTTAATGACTAATCCTCCTCCAATGGCTGTGTCTCAGCCCATAGTGATAATCGCTAAGCTAACCAGGACACGCAATTTCTCATTTTCAGAAAACATTGTTTCTGCACACTCTGTGACCTCCTCCTCTCCATGACTGCGTTACCAGCTGTTGGCAGCATCTCTCAGGATGAAGATCAGTGTGGGGGGCGTTCAGAAGAGTGAAAGGAAAGCAGGTCTGATCTTACTTGCAGCGTTGGTCACACACGCACAGACAGTGTTGAAAAAGTTTCACACAGACAGATGTGTGTACATCCCTGTCTCCTCTTGGGTTGCCATGGTGAGCAACCGCTCAGGTCCCAGGCTCAGAGCAGGTGCCAGGAGGAGGCTGCAGGCTTGAGGACCATTCAAGATGTCCATTAGAAGCACAAACAACCCCAGCCTTCCCTCTCTCCGTAATGGACTGAATCTCAACCTGCCACATTAATAGGTGCTTGGCCACAAAGAAACCTGCAACAGTAATGTCTGATTCCTCATTATGTGGGTTTCAGTGATGGATACAGTGCTTCCGCTGTGATCTCCAGATGCAGAATTGCAAAGCCTCTCTCAGCCAGGCACATGTAGCCCAGGCTTTGGGAAACCCTCACAAATAATTTTTCAAGACAATAAACCACAAACAATCAAAGACAACCAGAACTGCAGAAGGCTGAAGACTCCAGCCTGGACCACCTCTGGTCAGGAGCATGAAAAAGACTATGGTACTAGGAGTTTAAAAGTCACTGTCAGCTGGGCACAGTGGCTCACACCTGTAATTCTCAAACCTTTGAGAGGCCGAAGTGGGAGGATCACTTGAGCCCAGGAGTTGAAGATCAGCCTGAACAACATAGAGAGACCCTATCTCTACAGCAAATTTAACACATTAGCAGAGTGTGATGGGTTGTACCTGTAAGTCCCAGCAGTCAGGAGGCTGAGGTGGGAGGATCACTTGAGCCCAGCAGTTTGAGGCTACAGTGAGCCCAAATCTTGCCACTGCACTCCAGCCTGGGTGACACAGAGAGATTCTGTCTCAAAAAAAAAAAAAAAAAAAAGAAAAAAGAAAAGAAAACAAAAAAAGAAAGAAAGAAAGAAAAGACCACTGTGTCAGCATCGTCAGCAGACACTGTACCAGGCTTGGGGTTGTGGAAAAGTGGATGCTGAACTCCCTGTTACCTCCCAGTAAGGACAACACTATAGTTCCTTTTTAAAAATATTATTTTAATATATTTTTGGAGACAGGGTTTCACTCTGTCTCCCAGGCTGCAGTGCGGTAGCACAATTTGGGCTCACCACAGCCTTAACTTCCCCAACCTAAGGACCCTCCCACCTCAGCCTCCTGAGTAGCTGGAACTATAGATACACACCACCACAGCTGGCTAATTTTTGTATTTTTTGTGGAGATGGGATTTTGCCATGTTTCCCAGGCTAGTCTCAAACTCCTGGGCTCAGGCAATCTGCCCACCTCAGCCCCTCAAAGTGCTGGGAGGACATGAGTAAGCCACTGCACCCGGCCACATTTCCTTTTATAGTGGACTGCGGGCTTGGAGAAAATGGGTACTATGTCACATGCATGATATGGAAGTTACAGTTTACCAAGGACATTCAGCAGAGAAAACTGGGAGCTACCCTTAGGACGAGTGGGTGGGGTGCAGGGAGCACAACTCCTCATCCTCACATTCCACATAGGAGCCAGCTTGGTTTGAGGCCCTAGAATACCACTGGCTGGTGTAAGGGCCAGATCTCAAGATCTCGAGAAGCCCCGGGTGAGCACTGAGAAAGCCACTGATCCCCCACGCTGAGCTAGGACTTTGGATTTTCTCCCATGGGGAGGAGTATGTTCTGTATGTGTGAGGAAGAGAGAAATGAATGCTGGTGGCTAGAAGGGCAGATGGGGGAAGCCCTCAGGAATTCACAAAGTTCCTAGTCTCCTCCTCCTGGGTGTGTGGACGGAGGGTACCTCCTTGCTCTTTAAGGTTAGGTGGGGCCATAGGACTTACTTGGAACAACAAAACACTAGCAGAAGTACTGTTTATCGTTTCCTAATGGAAGCTTTAAAAGCCAGTGCGAGACTCACTATCTCCTCTTCCTTCTTCTGGAGGGAAGCATGTGTGGCTGCGGGGGCTCCATCAGCCTGGCTCCACTGACCACGAGGAGCAGATCGCCAAGACCCCTCCCCAACCCAGAAGCCTGCTTTAGACATGAAATGAAAGTGATTCATAAGCCTTTGTTGTTTTAAGCTACTGAAGCTTTGACGTTGTTATTGCAGCCTAACCTTGCTTGTCCTGACTGGCACACCCAGAATAATTAAATGGCATGATTATGAAAGATGCCTTTTTTTAGAATCTCTTGTCTAATCTTTTCTCTATACCTGGATTCCCATTACAGTTTCTTACTATGACATCAGTGAATGTCATGTTGCTAAATTGTCTGCATGTCATATAATACGAGACATCCCACACGCATAATCATTTGCAATTATGTAACAGTGTAGTCAAATCCAATCACTTCAAGGCTCAAAAAGGGCTGAACGCCATAGCTAGGATGTGGAGAGATGGAAAAAGTATCATTTATAATGACAAAAAAAAATAGAGAAAAAAAAGCATTGTAGATTAATTTTTTTTAATGTGCAAAAAATAGAAAACTACAAAACCTATCTGAAAAGACACCATCAACAGCTTAATAAATGCCAAGAACCACACACACACACACACACACACACACACACACACACACACACACCTTTCCCCTGCAAGGTCAGGAGGCTGGTAAGTGGTAGAAGGGAAGATTTGAATACAGTTGGCTTCCTTAACCACCATCAAAAATAGGATGGGTGAGCTTTTTCTGTAATGGACCAGACAAACCATTTGAGGTTTCTGGGTCATCTGGACTCTGTTGCAACTATTCAAATCTAGCTCAAAAGCAGCCAATGGACAATGTGTAAACAAATGGGTGTGGCTGTGCTTCAATAAAACTTTATTTGCAAAAGCAGATAGTCACGGGGATTTGGGCCATGGGTCCATAGTTTGTTGACACATGATCTAGAATAATAAATCCTTGAGGATAGTCAAGGCTTTCGGGAGGAAAAAACTAATAACAAGCAGAGACTTGGTCTATCAGATATCAGCACATAAAATATAGCTATAAAAGTTAGTTGGAATTGCATTATATTTATACATTAATTTAGGGTTGCTATGTAATTTATATAATTTAGTTTACAGAGGATATTCATTTATGATTTTGAGTCTTCCTATTCAGGACTGTGATATTTCTCTATTGTCACTCAGATCTTGAGAAACAATTTAAAGGGGTTGGGGGCAGGAGGAAGCTCAAGGCTAATGTTTAGAAAAAATTATACTTAACACCAGACAGGTTGACATATTTACATATTTACTTACACCCTGACATATTTGTCAGTTGTGTACATTCAGACTTTGGTCCAGTTCCGTGAAGGGCAAGGACAAGAGCAGGGTCCACCTGAGATGGGGAGTTTTTGAGGAAACGTTTCCTATGTTAAGCTGGAACACCAGAAGGCTTCACCAGATAGGTTTAAACCCTTCCCCCGCCCCCAAGGAGACTAGGCTGCTGTGGGCCTCAGCAGAACAAAAGGGTAAAGAAAGACAGCACTGGGAATCACATCCAAAAACCAGCCCTGGCCAGTTGTGGTGGCTCACACCTGTAATCACAGCATTTTGGAACATCAAGGCGGGTGGATCACCTGAGGTCAGGATTTCATAACCAGCCTAGTCAACATGGCAAAACCCCATCTCTAGTAAGAATACAAAAAATTAGCCAGGTGTGATGGCAGGCGCCTGTAATCTCAGCTACTCAGAAGGCTGAAGCAGGAGAATTGCTTGAACCCGAGAGGTGGAGGTTGCAGTGAGCTGAGATCACACCACTGCACTCCAGCCTGGTGACAGAGGGAGACTCTGTCTCAAAAAAAAAAAAAAACCTGTCTATTTAAAATATGAGGAGAAAGGAGAAAAACCAAAGAATAGGTTAGAAAGTACAAAATAAGATGGTAGATTTAAACTCAAATATATCAAGAATTATGTTAAGGTTGGGCGCGGTGGCTCACACCTGTAATTCCAGCACTTTGGGAGGCCAAGGCGGTAGATCACGAGGTCAAGAGATCGAGACCATCCTGGTCAACATGGTGAAACGCCGTCTCTACTAAAAATACAAAAATTAGCTGGGCATCGTGGCACACACCTGTAGTCCCAGCTACTCGGGAGGCTGAGGCAGGAGAATTGCTTGAACCCAGGAGACGGAGGTTGTGGTGAGCCGAGATCACGCCGTTGCACTCCAGGCTGGGTAACAAGAGTGAAACTCCGTCTCAAAAAAAAAAAAAAAAAAAAAAGAATTATGTTAAATAAATATGCGTAGTTAAAAGACTTAAGTCACAACATACATCCATGAACAATTTTAGATGGCAGCATTCACCAAAGCCATTCACCCCGCCAAAGCAGTGCACAATAGCCTCTTCCTGGTGACTTAGGCTGCCCATGGTGACCACCAGTGACTGCCACTTGACATCACAGTGTATCCCTCCCTCAGAGTCAAGCAGGGGCTGATGGCTGTCTCCTATACCTCCCTGAACAGCTGCTGTGGTTTTTCAGCTCTTGTATCTGCTGTATATGGTTCTGTCTCAGGTGCCATGTGCTAGCTCTGTTCTCTGTATAGCTGCTTTTGACAGCTCCTCATCGATCTTCTAATCCACCACTCGTGATCCTAGAAAACAGAGACCACAAGTTGAGACCTTCACCTACAGAATCCCAAGGGCCAACACTGGGCAGAAGACAGCTCCATCCTTCTTACAAAAGGGCTTTTCCACAGAAGCATTTCCTTTATACTCTTTGCAGTGAGATACCCTGCTTCAAGAATTTCTCATGGAGCCAGAAGCCTTTGAAGTTTGCCCTTATGATCCTCACCACCGAATCCCACTCAGGAGACTCCAGTACCACCTGGCATCATGCAGGAGAAAGAACCCCAAGAAAGCCAAAAAGATGGCCATCTGCAAGTACAACGCCTGCCATGTGGTCCCCATCAAAAAGCTGGAGGAACATGAGGCTGTCTGTGTCAACAGAAGCTCCCTGGAGGAAGAGGACACCGAGAACCCTCTGAAAGTTAGTCTTCCTAGTTCAGAGCAGAACGATGACCCCCAGCAGGTCTCCCCCTCCCTTCCCAGCCCGGATATCTGGAACGTCGATGGGGCTGATTGCCAGCATATGTTTGTCCTTAAGACTTTTATTCCCCAAAAGCTTGTCTGTGAAAATGACACAAAAGAGTCAACAAGAGAGACCAGTCCCCAGAAGATCCTCAGACCAGGACAGTAAACTGCCAGCAGAAGAAGGAGCACACATCTCGTAAATGCATGGAAGAATGTGCAATGCATCAGAATAAAAGGCATGCAAAGCAAACTACCCTGGGATACCTTTTTTTTTTTAACCTGGAGATTGGTAAATATCAAAAGGCTTAAAATATTCTGCTGGCGGCCGGGCGCGGTGGCTCAAGCCTGTAATCCCAGCACTTTGGGAGGCCGAGGCGGGTGGATCACGAGGTCAAGAGATCGAGACCATCCTGGTCAACATGGTGAAACACTGTCTCTATTAAAAATACAAAAAAGTAGCTGGGCGTGGTGGCACGTGCCTGTAATCTGAGCTACTCAGGAGGCTGAGGCAGGAGAATTGCCTGAACCCAGGAGGCGGAGGTTGCGGTGAGCCGAGACCCCGCCATTGCACTCCAGCCTGGGTAACAAGAGTGAAACTCCGTTTCAAAAAAAAAAAAAAAAAAAATTCTGCTGGCAAAGGCAGAGCCAAATGGGCCGGGCGCAGTGGCTCAAGCCTGTAATCCCAGCACTTTGGGAGGCCGAGGCGGGCAGATCACCTGAGGTTGGGAGTTTGAGACCAGCCAGACCATCTCTACTAAAAATACAAAATAAAGCCAGGGGTGGTGGCACATGCCTGTAATCCCAGCAACTCAGGAGGCTAAGGCAGGAGAATCGCTTGAACCCAAAAGGCAGAGGTTGCGGTAAGCTGAGATTGTGCCACTGCACTCCAGCCTGGGCAACGAGGGCAAAACCCTGTCTCAAAAAAAAAAAGGTAGGGCAAAACGGACACTTTGATAACATTGGTGAGAATGCCAGTTGGTACGGCCTCCACGGAGGGCAATTTGACAATAGCTATAAACATTATCAATACACACAGTCTTTGATCAAGCAATTCCATTTCCAGGCTTCATCCTGGAAATACATTCACACATGCAGAAATGAGGTAAGTACAAGCTTATTCACTGCAGCGTTATTTGCAGCAGCAAAAAAAGTTAGAAATGAGCCAGGCGTGGTGAATCACAGCTGTGTCCTGTTACTCTGGGGGTTGAGGCGAGAGATCACTTGAGTTCAGCCTGGGCAACATAGTGAGATCCTGCCTTAAGCGACAAAAAAAAAAAAAGTAAAAAATGACCCAATTATCCATTAAAAGGGCCTGATTAAAAATAAGTTATACTGCAGCCATACAACAGAATAGTACGCCACCTTGAAAAAAAAGTGAGACAGCTCGTTCTGTGCTGATACGGAAAGGCTGAGACACTGTTGAGCTCAGAGGTCAGCAAACTTTTTCTGTAAAAGGCCAGACGGTAAATATTTTAGCCTTTGCCAGCCATGTGGTCCATGCTGCAGCTACTCGGCCCTGCCACTGCGACACGAGAGCAGCCACAGAAAATATGTAAATGAACGAGCAGAGGTCCCAATAAAATGACTTACAGCAACAGGTGGGGGGCTGGCCTTGGCTGTTGGGCCATGGTTTGCCAACCACTAGTTTAACTGATAAAAACCAAGTCCAGGGCAGTCTATATAGTATGCCACCATTTGGGGAGAGTTCCAGGAGAAGACGTGAATATGTACTTGCTTGTTTTTGCATATAATTTCTCTTGAAGGATACTCTAGAATGGAAGTCTGCTCACAAAGCCTGAAATATCTTCTCAATCTATTGCCTTATGGAAAAAAATGTGCTTACCTCTTCACCAGAAACTAATATTGGCAGCTGGGCATGGTGGCTCACACCTGTAATCCCAGCACTTTGGAAGGCTGAGGCAGGCAGATCACCTAAGGTCAGGAGTTCGAGACCAGCCTGACCAACATGGAGAAACCTTGTCTCTACTAAAAATACAAAATTAGCTGGGCATGCTGGTGCATGCCTGTAATCCCAGCTACTCAAGAGGTAGGAGAACCGCTTGAATCCGGGAGGCGGAGGTTGCAGTGAGCCAAGATCACACCGCTGCACTCCAGCCTGGGCAACAAGAGCGAAACTGCGTCTCAAAAAAAGAAGAATTAAAAAAAAAGAAAACGAAACTAATATTGGCTGCCTCCAAGGAAGGCAATGGGGTGACTGTGGGGCCAGAAAGACAGCCTTTCTTTCCTATTGACTCTTTAGTGTCTTTTACATGGGAATATGTGTGAATATGTTATCTGGTCAAAATCTAAACTGTATCTATTTTTAAACAGCAGATAGAAGACCTTTTGTCTTTTGCAAGTTTTTCAGGAGGAAATCTTAACTGCTAAGTTTGTGTTTTTTGTTAAGACAGGGTCCTCGCTTTGTCACCCAGGCTGGAGTGCAGTGGCACAATCATAGCTCCCAGTAGCCTCAACCTCTTAGGCTCAAGCAATCCTCTCGTCTAAGCCTACCAAGTAGCTGGGACCACAGGCATGAGCCACCATAACTCGCTAAATTTTTCTACTTTTTGTAGAGATGGGGGTCTTACTATGTTGCCTAGGCTGCTAGCATTTTTTTCAGTAATCATAACTTTGCCACCCGGCTGGCCCCTTCAACTGTTTCCACGAAGTATTAAACAAAGACTTCTTGGGGGAAAAAAATTCCAGATGACAGTGATTAATGAAGTGCATGAACTACAGAACTGACATACAGGAAACAGGGGAAATAAGTGATGTGGAAAATATATGTCTATAAGTCATAGGACCAGGAAAAACTTACTCTTCCTGAAACACCCTGAATCAGGCCGTGAGGGAGGGAGTCTGAGTGGAAGCCCTGCCCACAGGGGCTCTGCCAAGACAGAGCAAGATTGAGCTGACGTCTGTCACTATGCAGGGGCAGCCTGGGGCATTCTGTTGAGTATTCTGAAGGTATCCTCCAAGCTCCCAAAGGAGAGCTGGCCAATAGGCAGTGGGGAAGGGCAACCCTACCAACCCTGGGCAGCAGGCAAGCTTTGCAGGTTCATGTTGAGGGTTCCTGGCAAAGAGACTATCATGGGAAAGCTATGTCTTGGGGCAGAGGGTGCTCTGGATGGCAGAGGAAGGAGAAAAGAGAGAAGAACTATATTCAGGTCAGGTGCCTTGCTGAAATAATTATATTGAGTCCAGGCCACAACACTGAGGCGCAAACATTTTTATTTCCGATATACAGATATGAAAAGTGAGTTTCAGAAAAACTAAATAACGGTGGCTCACACCTGTAATTCCAGTACTTGGCGAGGCCAAGGCAGGTGAATCACCTATGATCAGGAGTTTGAGACCAGCTTAGCCAACATGGTGAAACCCCATCTCTACTAAAAATACAAAAAAAAAATTAGCTGGGTGTGGTGGTGCACACCTGTAATCCCAGCTACTTGGAAGGCTGAGGCAGGAGAATCACTTGAACTCGGGAGGCAAAGGTTACAGTGAGCTGAGATCGCGCCACTGCACTCCAGCCTGGGCAACAGAGCAGAACTCCGTCTCAAAAAACAGCTAAATTACGTGTCTTGGTTCACAAAGTTTGCGCGTGGCAAGTGACCTAATTGAATTCATCCCCAGTAATTACACTCCTAGATATGTATAAACCAGATGTGCACGAGAGTTCCCCAAAGCATGAGGATGAGATGTGCATAACAGCACTATTTGTAATAGCCAGTCTGGAAGCAATCCACACGTCCCTTGAGATAATGGGTAAACTATGGAAGTCTCACAGTGACAAACTAAACAATATTATATATTTCAAAATTGAGAAGAGCAGACTTTAAGTGGTGTCACCACAAAAAAATAAGTATGTGAGGTGATGGATATGTTAATTCACTTTATTTAATCATTCTACTATGTGTGTATGTATAAATATATCAAAACATCACATCATACCCCGTAAACATACACAATTATTTGTCAATTAAAAATAAAATGGCCCAGGTGTGGTGGCTCATGCCTGCAATTCATCCCAGCACTTTAAGGGCCTATGAGTCCGAGACCGACCTGGGCAACACAGTGAGACCCTCTCCCTACAAAAAAATTAAAAATTAGTTGAGCATGGTGGTACACCTGTAGTCACCTACTCAGGACACCTGAGGTGGGAGGATCACTTGAGCCCAGGATTTCAAGGATGTGGTGAGCCGAAATCACATCACTACACTTCAGCCCAGGTGACGGAATAAGACCATGTATAAAATTAAAACAAAAAAAAAATATGATAAAATTAGAATGTAAAATATATAAAATAAATAAAACAAAATGGTCATGAGAATGAACAAATGGTAACTATCCAGATCTACTTGGATGAATCTCACATAATGTGAAATTCTGTTGACACAGTATTTAATGAAAAAAAGGCAAAGTAAATCTGGTGTTTGAGGTCAGGATGGCGGTTACCCTTTGGGTGGAGAGGGGCTTTCCAGTGCTGTTCTTGTTCTGTTGTTTGATCCGGGTGCTGGTTGTGAAAACATATCCACATCCACTTGGATTCACGCACTCTTCTATTTGAACGTTGCACTCCAATGGAAACATTTTAACAACTGAACCTCTATCTAATGCTTGTTTTTTTCCATGGCACCATACTCCTTTCCTGGCTGACAGGTATTGGCAGCGGCTGCTGCCATCACATAGGCTGCAGCAGGGAGGCACCTGCAGCAGGGAGGCGCAATGGGAGCTGCACACTCCATGGATCCAGGTGCTTCCAGGTGCCACTGCTGCTGCCCAAATCTCGGCGGCAGATTCAGACCTCCTGCTGCACAGAGCAGGCAGGAGCCCTGCCCTCTTTGGTGGGGCTGCAGCTGCCCAAGCCGCAGCTGTGGATGCAACCTACCTGGGCTCTTAGGGGGGCCGAGAACAGGCAGGATCCACCTGCCTGGGTGTAGCTGCAGCCACCCAACTGGAGGCTGCAGACCTGGGCCTCCTGCTCCACAAAGCAAGCAGGAGCTGGGGACAAGCAGGAGCCCCTAACAAGTTAGCAGGGCAGCCCTCCCAGGTGCAGGACCTGGGCATCTCTGCAGCCTGCATTCTAGGGCGGGGAAGCCTCCCCATCACTGCAGACTCAGAGGTGTCTTCCACTGCCTGGACGCTCTCTTCTCCCAGCACCTGCTTCGATCTGGGAATGCGGTTGGAGCCACACCCCAGGGGCCATGAATGGCAGAGTCAGATTCCTGGGCAGAAAGGGGTGGGTCCCCG